ATCACACTTTCTCTCCTCTCACATGAAGGAAGCTGTCTTCTGATCTTGCTGAGGACTTGACCTAAACCTATGTTATTTTTTTTAAATTTCTTTATTTATGCATACAAGAACTGGGGTACAGGCCAGAGGTGTGGGGGGTGAGAGGATTCACCAGAGACAGAGTGGGGAACAGAACAGGTAGATTGACTGAAATAAACTGTTGAGGGGAGCATCAGGCTAGTCAGAAGAGTCTGCTGCGCCATATGGGTAGCTCCCTGGCTGGGGATCGAACTCGTGCTGCAGAGGGTGCGGACAGCCTCATAGATTGCGTCTTAACCCTTTGCGCCACCAGGAGGCCCTAAACCTTTGTTTTGACCTTCTCTCTTCTATCACTGTTACTTTAATATTTTCTCCATTATCTTTCAAGGAAAGATATACTTTCAGATATACTTACAACTATACTTACAGCAGTTAGCCAACTTGTAATAGCTGGCACTTAGTAAATAATTATCGAATGAATGAAGTGTTCATGACTTAGACTGTGGATAGGTTTACAAGGTTCACAAACTTGAGAATACATTTCTCAATTCCCCTTACAACTATGATTTCATAAATTCAAAAGTCAAAAGGATCATTTGTTTCAGATTATTCAATGCAATGAAAATACTAAAATGTCCATCCGCAGATGTGTTAGAGCAACTTTATCCTAGTTATTCAAGACAGAATCATGTGACTATCTCTAGAGAAAATTGAGGGAGTGTGAGTCTAGCCTTTAAAACTGGTTCTTCTAAAATGAGTCCAAGATTTGAACAGCTAATCTATGCTCGAATCTATTGTCTTCAATTGCACTCATACATATCCTAATTCTCTAGCTTTTTATGCTGTACCTTCAAGTCAGTCCAAAGAAAACCTTCTCCATCCACACTATCTGTTCAGTAATATTACACTCTGCAGTGCTTTGACAGTAACAGGCAATTCTATATATGCCCCTGAAGAGTTCCTTCACTTAAACCCTCAAGAATTGTTTTCAAAATGCTTCTCCTCAAGCTACCTGCGGCAGCCTCTGCCGCTGAACACCAGTGAACTTACTGGAAAGAGGGAGGCTTTCACTCAGACACATCCGAGTGAGTAAGACCCCCTTCCCCTGTGTGCTGGACTGGACAGTCAATGACAGGTAAGATCGGGGGCAGACTAAAGAAGGCACTGGCCAGCCTCATGTCTGTGACTCCTGACGACCTAAGACAGGCGCAGTCTCCGAGGGGCTTCATCATGATAAACTTTGGCGTTCAGATCAAACAAGGTCTACATGCCTATAAGCCTAATTTAGGCACCAAGCCCGCAGTAATTAACCCCTCCTTTGATGGAAACAAGGCTGCTAAGAACATTACCTGCAAACAAGCCTGTTGGAATTACCTACAAAGCAGTTTAACCATTAACCAGATAGTCATTGTTTCAGAAATAGTAACAACTTAGCAACCTGTCTATAATCATACTACTTTTTCACTTACTTTGCTTTTTCTTTATATGTGTACAATCAGTTTCAGGAAATGCATGATAAAGAAAATAGTGTTGGCAATAGTAGTTTTATAATAATCATAATACTTCTCACATGAGACAACACCATAAAAATCAAAATGCTTATGTAGAGAATATATTGCTCGTGATCACTAAAAGTAAAAGGTGCCAGTAGGTAAATATCAATGTTTTTGATCATTGTGGTTTTGGGATACGAATCAAGAAAAGCTAGCTTAAAGAATGCTGTTCGGTGTAAGCAAAAATAATTGTGTAGATTCAGTACCTGGAGATTGTTTACTGTGTCATGGAACAGCAATCACATGCACATGAATAACAAAGTAAATGTCTTATGCCTTACAAAGTATTTTATGCTGAGAAAGAATTAACTTGTATGAAATCATCCATTGTTAAAAAAGGTATAAAATTGTATGATGATTTTGAGCAAATTACATTCAGATCTTCACTCTTGAAGTGTGTCTGTTTGTCATTTGTGTGTCTGTCTGTCATTTATGCGCCGATTCCTTGAGCATCCTCACAGTTTCTCAATCCTGAGACAGTCCTGCAAGTCTACCGCTGCGCTGGTCCGCGGCAGCTACCCACCAATCTCCTTCCCATCTAATTTCAGCAATAACAGAGGTAGCCTCCCTTGTAATAAAAATAATAAATCATGTACACAGCAACAGCTTTTACACTTATTAAGCACTATGTCTAAGCATTTTACCTTTTAGGCACTACCTCAATTAATCTTCACAAGGATACCATGATTAAGGTAGGTACATACCATTATCCCCATTCTTCAAATTAGGAAACTAAAGCATAAAGTCAATTAATTTGCCTGAGGTCACAGAACCAGTAGCTGTCACTTCTAGGAGATAAATTCAGGTTTTTATAATCTAACATGAAAAACTCGAGTTAGTTGGTAAGCTTGAACAATGCTGACTCCCTCCCTGTCCTACTCTTCCGTTGGGGCAGAGAGAGGATTTTCATCAGGGTGTCCGATTATAGTCCCAGCTCATATTGGCCTTAAGAGAATGAGCCTCTACCTCTTCAGTGTAAGGTTTTCCAACAACCAATGTCAACTAGTAAGTAGCAAAAGCAATGTGGATACACACATGCGGTATTAACTATATTGGCCTAGTCAGCCTGTCTCAGTTTGGGGTGCTGCAACAGAATGCCTGTCATGGCTTAAATGAGTTCCTCACCGGTCTGGAGGCTGGGAAGTCTAAGATTAAGTAAGATCCAGCCAGTAGTGAGGGCCTGCATCCTACTTACCAGATGGCCATGTCCTTGTTATATCCTTACAAGGCAGACAGTAGAAATCATCAGCTCTCAGAATCACATGCAAGATGGCTCCAGTCTCAAGACCTAATTACCTCCCAAAGGCCCCACTTCCTAATACCATGGAGATTAGTTTCAACATATGAATCTGGGGTAACACAGTCTATCACACAGTCTTGGAAGAAAGCAATTGAGTTTTATACGAAAACAGAAATTTGTTGCTATTCCTGCCCCTTTTATTTCACCGTTTTCAGCAACTACCATCTTGGAAATGTTCTACCTTTGCGTGTTTGTTAAGTCCACTTCTTTCACACCTAGTTTCATCCTTTTTTATTACTTTAACATTAATTAGAAATAGAGTGGTGCCCTAGGCTACTGTTTTTCAACTTTAATGTATATATAAATCACCTGAGGATCTTTATTAAATGTAGATCTTCTTTCAGGTTTCAGGTAGAGCCTAAGTTTATAATCTTCTAAAAATCTTCTAAAAATCTTCAAATGATATTGATTTGCTGATTTCCAAACCACAGAGTAGCACTGGCACTTGAACAGTTCATCCTTGGTGCTCACATTGGTACTAAGTGATCTTTCCAAATATGTAAATTATATTCTGCTTTTATAGTCAAAACTGTGCAGAGCCTATTTTGTATTACACGTATTACACACTATAGATAGGTAACTTCACAAGGTTTTAAATTTTGGTTTTAAATTTTTGTTCAAGTCTGATTTTCCTTACAATCCAAACTTGTTTCTAAAATAAGTTTTTGTATTTTGATAATGGCTTGCCATGGGGAAACTTTTCATGCCTGTATCCCACAATTATTATTCCTTTTGAACTACAGAAAGATATTTCTCTGAAGAAAAACCGATCTGTGCTTTGACATCCTCCTTTTTTTCACTCATCAGAAACTCATTCAGTTACCTGGTTTCTTTTGCTTATCTGCCTTCTCTACTTTATCCAGTCTCAAATTTCTCTAGACTAACATGGGTTAAAAATGTTACATTTTCATCCTAGCACAAAAATAATCCAGGATAACACTGCAGATTAAATCCCCTTCAGAAGCTGTCAGCTCACTAATTTGTTAAATACTTCATTCCAGGGATTCCTGGCGCAGGGGGTTAAAGTCTCAGCCCTATCAAGCTGTTGCCAGCCACTGCAATAGTTTGATCCCAGCCTCAGATCTAACCCACATGGCACAGCAGACCTCTCCTGTCTCACCCACTGCTCCCCTCAGCAGTGTATTTTGGTACATCTGCATGTTCTGCTCTCCACCCTGTCTCTGGTGAATCCTGTTCTTGCATGCACAAATAAATCAATCTTCAAAAAATTTCATTCCAAATATCTATTAACTAGGCCATAAAAAGTCTATTTGTCAAACATTATATGCATGTCTTTTTCTCTTTTTACAATACACGAAACAATTAAGTAGATTTTAAGGCCATTTTTCTAGCATGAAGTTTTTACTCTCCTGCCTGAACTATCTAGTCAAATCAAATGACCAGTTTCCTATCCACATTTCTTAAAAGGGAGAGTCCCTTGCTCTGCGGGCCTTTTCTACATACCCCACTTGCATGTAGAAGTCTGTTCCTGCACTGTACACCTCACTCCATGGTGTTGGGAAATGCTGTTAAGGACCAGAAAGGGGACATTTTTAGCATTTTCAGCTTACCTTCCCCCAAATTGAGTTTTACCCAACGGGTGACTAAATTTGTGAAATAGTATTTCTAACTACTTCCTAGAAAACTGCTTCTTCAAATTCTTTATACACTGTGTTTTAACTCACAGAACTGAGTCCTGCTTATTTTAAACAAAGGTTTTGATAGTTCCCAGCCCAGGAGGATTTTGCCCTCACAAGGGATGTGAGACAGTCTAGAGGCATTTTTGGTACTACTGGCATCCAGTGGGTAGAGGTCAGCAACACTGTTCAATATCCTACAATGCCCAGTAGAATTCCCCATGAAGACTCAAATAGCCCCAAATTATATAACGTCAAAACTGAAAAACCCTGGGATAGTCACAATTTCTGCTTTTGAGGCACACATAAGTGCTTATTGGCATTTATGAGGTACTAGAAACCAAACTGAACTAAACAACTGAATTCGTTTTTGGTTTCTTATTTAATAAAGAAAAATGTCCTCTCATTTTACATTAACTTCACCCCAAATAGCTCAATATTGTTAAAATATTGACTGTAGTGTGATAACAAGAGTCAACTAAGATTAAAAACTGGTCTAAGACTTTAGATATAATAAGTTTTATTCATCTGGTAGTACTTGATGCTCACAGGGCACCGTACAACAAATTTAAAAAATACAATATGAAAAAAATTGAACAGCCAAAGAGATCAATTCCATTAGAGGGCCCACAGAAAAACCAACAAAAGCCCACAGAAAAACCCACCCACGGTTCCCTTAAAACAATTTCTTCCTGCTTAAGTTTGGCTTTAAGAGACACCAAAAGAAAGTGCGAAAGAAAAAGAGATTGTTAAAACTTCACATAGCGTCTTTCATGTAAGTATATCACAAAATGCTTCCTTATTCGACAATAAGCATATAAAATAATCCAAAGACCTGTGAGTCCCTATTTGGTCCCAACTCATAACCTTTAGTATCCCCCTCACCTCTCTATCTTCAAGTCACTTTCTACATCAGTTAAAAGTCACTAAAGGTGTGGTAGTCTCCTTACTGCACACTGCCACTACAAAGCAGAGATTTTCCATAAATAAGGGTCCAAGTAAACTGAAGTTGTATAAATACTTGAAGTATACATTTTCTCAAGACTTAAATTTTGGGCTTTGAAATCTAATTGTTGTCTTTGTTTTCATGATTAGAATTCCTCAAGGTTATTTGACATCAACTATGAGAACAGCAAGTTTTAGTTTCATGGGGGCTTTTTGTTACAAACATTTTAGAATGATTTTGGGAATTGTGTTTTACTACACATTGACATGTTATCCAAGTCAGCTCATGTTCACTGTCAATGTGGTAATGGTCAGCCAACTTTACAAGCTATTTCTCATCAAAGCCTCCAAGGAGCTCTGTAGATGTTAACAGTAACTAGACACAAATCTTAGTGTTAGCCTATGTTTACCTTATAGTGGCAGAGTCAGTCCATGCTTATTTGTTGCAGAATCTCACTTCCCATCAGAATTCACAGAAGTACTAATATTGGAAGACAAAACAAAATGGCTGTGGGTAGTTAGAAGAAATCAACTCAAGAAATCTTTGGCCAGAAAATTAGGAAAAGCTTAAAATATTTGCCAAAACCTAAGTACTGCCTTAATGCATGAATCCTCTAGAATTAAATGGCATTTCATTTGTTTGACAACTATAGATCAATTTATCTTAATTACTAAATGCAAAAACTAAGCAAACCAGGTTATTTCAGCTGCTGCCACTATGTAGTATCGTAGCCCAAAGCATTATGCCAAATGTACTCCCCCTTTCCCAATGACTTGAATTTCTTAAGGGTAAAAAGGGCAGGTCAAAAGCACCTTTGTATCCCCTGCACTTAGCACACTGGCTGGGGCCGATACACAGTAGGTGCTCAACAAGTATTTATAGAATACATTGTTGAGTAGGCTTATGACATGGGGAAGAGTCTGAAGATTGTCTTAAGTCTGTAAGCTTTACATAGGTAGCCTCACTCTCAACAGAAAGCAGATTTGAAGTAGGTACCTTCCCCACTTTCTAAAGACTTGTCAAGAGTTGGACATGACTTTAATCACCTCCTGTAAACATGTTCACAAAGCATTTTGAGAAATCAAGAGATGAAAGGCGCTATGTTAAGTGCAAAATAATATTCAAAACAGTTCAGCAAAGGTGCTACATTCTCTATGGTGATGGAACGATTGTGCTAGTTTGAGGTGAACAGCCCCAAATCTACTCTTTGTTTTCATTATCAACAAAACAATGGAATTTTGACAAAGATGCCATCACTTTATATAGCTTGTATTCTAACTATTGTCTATAAATCAGGTGACAAAAAATGAAATTAAACCACTTACTCTACACAAACCAATACTTTTATCAAAGTTCCGCATTTTACAAGTCATGTTCAAAAAACACACACAAGTTAGCATTTTGTACACAAATGTTTATTTCTTAATTAAACATTCCCTTTAAACACAAGGAATGAATTCTAAATCTTCATAAAGATGAATTAAAAATGAAATCCCTCCAGTAAAGTGTGTGTAATCACTGTGTTCTTGGTCACTACTGGCAATTTACTGTTTAACATCAAAAACAAATACGGGTTATTTAAAAATCATGCTACTGCATTTCTAGCTCTTCCTCTATGACCAGTTCTATGCTGATCTGCAATGTTTAAAAGTTTACATCACCAAATTGAAGCAAGTTTAAAGTGTGAAACAGCTGTGCATTAAACACAAAATAAACAAAATTATAAGATATAGTCAAGTTCATAACGAATATAGGTGTTCTTATCATCATTGTAGATTCTTGGGTAATGTGCTATGAGAGCATCCTGTGAACCAATGTAGATGGAATTGTAAATTTTCCAATACACATCTCTGACTTTCCGGGCTGGATGAAATAGACCCTAGAATAATTGAAAGGTTTCATTATTTCAATTTTCAAAAACACATAATCTTAACATAATCAACAAACCATAAAGATTCAAAACATTTCACTTTAACAGAGAAAAAAAACCTGACAATGGGCTAGGTCAAAATTTATCAATAATATCCCTCCCCTCACAACTGTTTCCCCAAAATTTACTATATTGTTAACAAGGAACAGTGACTTTATTCAACTAAATAACTACTTTTATTGAGTAATCTTTTAAAAATCTTTAACCTACCTGTAAACAATACTGTAGCATTCTACATGGTCCAATAGCAACTCTTAGGCCCTCCAGGGCTCCCATAACTGCTTGAATTACATGGGGAGATGTTTCAAACACATTGGGCCATACATAGTTCAACAAGTGATTTAGAGAATCTTCACAACCAAATCCATAAACCCCAAGTGACATGTGTTGTACCACTGCACTAGCCGTCTGTCTGTGTACGAGGTCCCTGTGATGGGAGGAGGGGAGGAAACCTTATTAATTAAGATGGAGCCTTAGATTTTACAGGAAATATTCAACTGCCCATTAGAAAGGAAACTACTAATTCAGTGCAGGAACAGATGCAAGTGAACCTTAACTAACCTTAAATACTGAAATAGAATGACTAATGATTTTTCTTGAGAACTTTTGCTTTAAAATAAACTAAATGTTCTAATTAAAGGAAAGTGAGCAACACAGTCTTGTGCAGTGTACATTTTTAGCATGCTATTAAAGAGGGAATACGTCAATTTCACATATGAATGACAGTAAAATCTCATTTTAAACTATAAAGTCTTTGGAAGTAATTCAATGTTTGCATACAATAAATAAATCCAAATTCAAACCATTCCCTTGTTAAGTGTCATTCAAAAACTCAATTTGGGGAAAAGAACCAATAATTTTCTCCTACTTATAGAAATAAGAACATTATCATTTCTCAGGTTAACTGAATTTGTGTTTATGACAAATTATGGGGTTAAATTGCAAATTACTCAAATGAATAGGAATATCAGAAAATGGGTCTGTGATGGGTATAAAAATTAATTCACACTCTTTGCCCCACAAGGTAATAAAGAATGTAAGAAATAAAAGATGTGGGGGCCTCCTTGGTGGTGCAAGGGATTAAGTCTCAACACCATCAAGCTATTGCCAGTCACTGGCATGAGTTCGATCCCTGACCAGGGAGATAACCCACATGGCGCAGCAGACCTCTCCTGTCTCGCCCAATGCGAGTGTATTTCAGTCAAGCTGTGTATTCAGTCAGCAGTGTATTTCAGTCAAGCTGCCTGTTCTGCTCCCCATTCTTGTCTCTGATGAATCCTCTCTCTCTCTCTCTCTCTCTCTCTCTCTCTCTCTCTCACACATACACACATACCCCACCACCACCCAACTCTGGCCTACACCCCAGTTCTTCTATGTATAGATACATAAAAATAAACCTTTGAAAAAAAAGTGTAAGAAAAAAATACTTGAATTTACTAGCTTTCTTATTTTTCTTATTTACTGTAATAATGCTAATTAGACATAGTGAAGCAGTATTCCTCATTAATAAATTTTCCAACTAAAGTTTTTATTTAATTAGCAATTTTCAATGGCATTATTATCTTTCTAAATAGAATATAACTTTTTTGTTGTATTTAGTTCAAATCACTTACCTATCCATTAAAGCATCTTCAAGTAATGGTGTTACAGCATAAATGTAGTCCTTCCCCATTTCACCAATATATTCAAACAAGAATGAAAGAGATTTTAACACTCCATTTTGAACATTCAGTTCAGGAACTCTGTATTCATTCATTAAGGCAGGTAGTACTGTGAAGGGTGAACATGTTTCAGCAACAATGGCTATTGCTACAGTGGTACAAACTCTGTTCTGCCTTTCCTGAACTTTGAGATTGTTTAGAAGTGTAGCCAATACATCATGAGGGCTGGAAAAAAGAATCAATGTGAGGAAACTATTAGATTACAAGTCAAATTTTTTCAAAAGGAAAAGAAAGACACGAATGAAATTTTATTACTAGCAAGTAAAGATACTAGTAAGGAAATGAACTTCAGTGGGAAACTAATTGTAATAAAATGTAGTATTTTCAAGTCACTGACATTGGCACTATTAAGAATTTCATTTAAATTAAATTCAGTTTTAAAGAAAAAATTCAAAAATAATTCTTTAGTCTTAAGTAAATTTCCTGAAATATGAAAGAAATTTAAATGTTTAGCATTAGTAATTCTTTGAGTGGTCAGGGGCCTCCCCGGTGACGCAGTGGGTTGAGCGCAGCGTTGTGAAGCTATCCGCAGCCTCTGTAGCACTGGTTCAATTCTGGGCCAGCCAGGGAGACACCCATATGGCGCGGCAGACCTCTCCTGCTATGCCCACTGCTCCCCTCAGCAGTGCTTTCGGTCTGTCTGTTCTGCTCCCCACTCCGTCTCTGGTGAATTCTCTCACCCTCTCGTGACTCTGGACTGTACCCCAGCTCTTGTATAAATTAAAAATTAAATCTTAAAAATAAATAATTCTTTGAGTGGTCAAACATGGCACCAGGGCTAGCCAACCATCCCTTATATGGTATCCAAACCATGGTCTCCAGTGCCACCAATCAAAATCTATTTTCTTTTTTCACTCCCACATAACTTTACTGCATTTATTTTACCACAAACTTAGATAAAAGCTAAAAACACAACTGCTATTCATTGCAAATTTTTTGACTATATCACTGCTAACATAATTACTACTACTACCAAAAGAGGCAGGGGGTAGGTAAACTCTTTTCTTGCTAGAAAACATTTTCCTTGTTATTAAGTCACCTGGACATGTAGTGTGCCATTTTTTATAACTGTTTCTACTTTGGTTCTAATGGGATGGAAGCAAACTACCAAATTACCTAGTAATATTGCTGAAAATTAGTTTCTGTGGATTAATCATATAAAAGTATTTTTTAAACACAAAGCATTAATGAGATGCTGATTGTTTTATTAAGAATTGGCTTTAAATTTTAAAGCAATGTCCCCAAAAAGATCGATGAAAACTGAAAATATTCTGAAGATGATAATTTCCACTCTGAAAATATTTGAGGTGCATGTAATCCAAAAACCTCCCAACTATTTTAATTCAATTTAAAGTATAAGAAAACATTTTAAAAATTGAAGGTTGTTTTCTCAACTGCATTATTCATACCATGCCTTAAGAGATTTCTACATAAAAGTATTTTCAGCATAATGGATTCACTACAAAGTCTGAGTGTATGTACATATGCGTATCTATGTCTGTATATATAAAGATACATAGAAAATAACTCACCCAATAGCCTTTGCAATATAACCAAATGTGTTGACTGTAGCTCTACGAATAGCTTTTTTATGAGCCTTTAATAGCTCTAAAAGCTCAAAGCAAATCCTCATCCATTCTCTTGCAGACACATATTCAGCTCCCCTAATTTAAAAAAAAAGTTATTTTTTTGGTGAGTTTTAAAGGTACATTGGCAAATTCATTTCTCAATGCATGATTTCCAACTCATTTTAAGCATTAAATATCACTACTCTTCAAAAAAGGACAAGTTCAGTCTTAGAATTGCATTGCCAGCAAATTGCAATTTTACCAAAAATATTAAAACTGGATATACTTACTTTGGCAACATTAAGCAAATTTTACAAAATAAATTAGAAGGGTTAAATGTTAGCCAATACTGCTTACAAAAAATATTTAAGTAATTTGCCTACCTGTCAGCAATACGTCCAACAAGATCAATACAATTTTCTTGCACTTTTTCATGCCTGTTCTTTAAGATGGGGGTAAGTCTAGGCAGCAGATCTTTAATTGGTGGGGTCATCTTATGCATACCTATGTAACAGAAGTCAACATGCTATCAATTCACATCTGAAGAATAACCTTTGTTCACTTTTCCTTTTACTTAATGATGTAATACACATCATTAGGAATAAATATAAACTTACAGCTGCCTATGGAAAGAGAAAACCCCAGATTTCTGACCAGACTCAGAATTGTTTATAACTTTTTAATTAACAACTTCTGATTATGCATAGAAATGAAAGAAATTAGTGAAGTGATTTAAAGAATGATGGATACTCAACAACAACAAAAAAATCTTATTTGGTTCTGAAATGTATTTGTACACTAACATTTAAATATGGGGAAAGCTCATGTTCCGGCCATACACCACAATATAAGCCAGAGGTAAACATGTAAATTAAAGCAAAATTTTCCAGAAAGGGCCCCCTTACCCTTTAACTGCAAAACAAACAGATCTCCAGTCTCCCTGCAATGCAGGGCATACTTGGATGGTATTTACACCTATGAAGAGAGAAAAAAGGAGGCAGCTGGCAGGGGCTCTTGCTCTAACTAGAGTTGCTTGCTCTGATTCTCTCTCCATGCTCTTCCCATGTTTCCCTGATAAACAACATGGTTTATAACTCCCTACAAACCAGAGTCCCACTAGTGGTCAAAGAGAGAGGAGTGTACTGAATTTGGGGTTATATTTATGCATTAAAATCCCTTACAGAAGTAAGAGTGGCTGGCTATCATCACCAGCTACTGACTTTCTGCTGTGTTAATTTGGCCCCTCTGAAACCCTACAGAAGTTACTTTTGGCAACAGTCATGTCCAATTACAATAAAGATTAAATATAAGACCACTGGCCTTAGCATAATGTTCTTAAAGAATAAAGGCTTTGGCTTCCATACATAAGATGATCTGTTTTATGTTTTTACTTTAGATTAGAAAATGGAACAGACAGTTTTAAAGAATTAGATATAAACATGATAACTTGATTGAATTGGTTTTCTCTATGGTTATGTTCCTTGAACTTAACAGCAAGCAGAAAACTTGCCAAAATCATTTATTAATTCAAGGCTGAATATATATTTTGTCCTAAAAGTAACTAAACTCCAGAGTTGTTGTTCCCCCCGCTATAGAATATAATTATGAGAGCAACACTATTCTTATTAGGATCCTCTACTCTGTGACTTCAGTTTCTTGAGCTGTGACTTCTCCCACCTCTCCTGTAAGATTCTAAACTTGACCTCTCTTTTTTAAAAGTAAAATATAAATGGGTTTTTGGGAGACAAGATTTTGTGACACCCCGACTTAACTACAATTCTAAAGTGTTTTAAAAGAAAAAAAAGTAATCAGAAATCATTACTCAACTCCTAAATGAGTCTATATTTTACTTTCAAAAACCAAAGCAAGTTAAAAGAAAATTTTTTGTGACCAACAAATTTCATACCTATTACATTTACAATGGCCTTCAGTGCTCCAAGAATGCTGCCCAATACTTCAGGGTACTCCTCACCCAAATACTCGTACAAGACAACACCCAAGTGACCCATCAATTTTTCCTATAATAAAAGAAATAATGTTAAAAATGCTACTGTGCACATGATTCTATCTGATAAAGAAATAAAAATCGGATACAAAAGATTACCTCTTGACAAGTCTTCATAACAACTGCAGTTCTAGAGATCAAGTCAGCTGCCTGTTGCCTAACTTTTGCTGATTTGTTATTTAAACGCCACAAAACTGTACCACAGATCTGAGGCAAGTAAGGTTTGACTCGTTTGCCAAGAGCATTGACCACTGTCCCAAAGCCATTTAACATTACTGAGTCCTAAAAAAGAAAAGCCAAGTTAAATTTAAAAATTACATCCACTGGGAACTTAGAATAGATGAAATATACTAATATTTAATCCTTTGCAGTTTGAGTTTAAAAAAAAAATCGTATCTACAATTTTGAAGGAGTATTTCTTGGTTATCAATCGAAAACATGAACATTCAAAGACTACTTTAAATTCCATTACTTTTTACTGATATTTACTAGAGAAGTAATTACTTTTCTACAAATATGAAAGTCACTGGCAACTTGCCATAATTAGTATATTACCTCTGTAGTCTGTTCTTGGAAAGCATAAAGAATACCATCAATCAGTTGTTCTTCAAGTTTATGATCAATATCCGCTGCTCCTAAGTTGCCCATAATTTTCTCAATTGTCTCCATCACCATTTTTCTGTACTGTTCAGCTTCATCTTTCAGATCATCCACAATCCTGGATATAATTTCTGCTGCACCTACTTTATTTGCCAACTCCACAGTGGTATCAACTAACTAAAGAGGAGGAAAAAATTTTTGAAATTATTGCTCTTCCAAGTAAATAAAAAGACATCATGAAAACCAATTACTGTAGCTAATAAGCATACTAAGAACATATACTGAAATCTTAAAACTTTTAAGAGAAAAGATGACAAACAATTTACATGGGAGTCTTAGTCAAGGTTATTTAAAGTAAAATTATTATCCTGTTTCACTCGGCTAAAGTATTTATTCTGCTCTACAAAAGACATCTATTCAAAGCTGGGTATTTATCTTAGGATGCAAAATCAAAATGGAAGTTAGCTGGCTAACTGAAACCCATTTTCTTTCACAAATCAAACACCTATGAACTGTGAGAAAATAACGTAACATGGATTCAAATTGACTAAATATATACTTCAAAGGATCTTAGAAATATATATTTTTTACAATAAAAGCCTACCTGTCGGTAATTTCGTCTATCCAAAGCCATTCTATGTTGCCAGAAGTGTTTAAAAAAAGGAGGAAGAATTTCTGTTTTAATGTAGTTTGCTTCTACACCATCTGTTCCACAACACTGCTTTACCACCTAAAAGTTAAAATTAAAAAAATTACAGTAATGGTTTAACATATACATGTATTTTCTATAACACTTTAAAATTCTCTTTGAACCGCAAAAAAACAAGCCCAATTTAGACTGTTTAATTTGAAACAATTACCTTCAACACAATTTTCTTCATTTCTTCATCAGGAGATTGGAATTCTCGAATAAGGATTAACATCACTTCTCTAGTGTAATAGTTGGCATATTCTGCATCCATGAGAGGAATGAGATACCCAATGGCCTTTAAGAAAGCGGCCAGACCCTATTTTAAAATGAAAAATACATATACTTAGCAAATTAGATTTAAGTTGACTTAACTTCAATGAGATCAAAAAAGAAAAATAAGATCTAATTAGTGTATCTACCTTTCCTCTGTGTTGGCGGATACCCTTCCATAGAGGCTTTAACACAGAATCAAAAGATTCAATCCCATAAGGAGTTGCTGCTTCAGCTAAGGCAGCAATGGCCAAAGCACTAATGGTCCTAACTTTCTGCTGCTCATCCACAAGACCTATAAAACCAAGCACAGGTTTTAACTAAGCAAACTAATTTCCACAATATCATCCAGATTCTGGCAATATATTTAAACATTTGAATTACACAATCTGTTCACTTTAGATAAAATTAGGCTAGTCAATATGAACCACAGCTTATTAGGAGTAATGTTATACATTCCATCATAAACTATATGGTGTTTATGTTTTTAAAGCCCTCTACTTTAACACTTCAAATCAGCAGTCCGAATTTCAGGGCACCTATCTTAAAAAAGATAGACAAAGTAACAATACAACTTACCATGCTCAATGATTTCAACTAAACTTCTGAGATGTGGCAAAATAGCACAGCCCATAAGAATAGCTATCTGCTGTACAATCTTAATGCCAGTGTGTCTTGCTTGCCAGGACTTCTTGCTTTTGCACACAGCTTTTAAGAAGGGCAATAATGAAGGAATGCCCAGGGCAGACGCCACGACAGCAAAAGCTCTAGCCGTTGTGTTACGGACATATTCATCCATGTTATCTATGTCCGGTCTCATGGTGGAGATCATAGTAGCCAAACCAGCAGCCTAAAAGGATGTGAAAACAAAATCATGAGCTGGTAGCATTAACCCTGAACCGTTTTCCAATCAAGTAATCCCTTGAACAGATACATTTTTCTTCTCTACAAATATAATGTAAATACCTTCGCCAAATTAGAAATAATCTCTCGGCCTTCCACTCGAGCATAGTAATCTTCATCAATCAGCAATGGTTCAATGACCACAAGGATCTGAAAAAGAAAAGAGGCCACATTTTCATACCAATTACATGATTAACAATTCAAACCGATTACATGATTATGTAATAGAATTAGGTACACAGTTTGTAACTACCAGAACTCTTGATAATCAAGGGACAAATTAAGAATTTTGATTACCAATTTCAACCACATATAGATGAAAATTTGGGCGAACCCAGTCAAACACAGTCTAATATTCAACATTAAAAAAATTACATCTGTATTTTGCAATTCTAATCCATAATTTCTATCTGCAAAAAGATGGTTCTTAACACTAAATTGCAGTCTAGAAATACACATTTTCTCACCCTAATCCACTATCAATAAAAGCAAATGAAAAAATATGTCCAATATAAACCCATTATGGTAAAATGGCAAAACTCACATCTATAATACACATATTTTATTTGTAGAGATGTGATATATGTTTATACAAAGAAAAAGTTCTGTAACGATATGTAAATTTAACTCAAATGTCCTGCAAGGGAATGAAATTTCACTTTTTACTGTGATTATATAACATCAGTTACTACTTTTAAAATTCTAAAATTTCACAAATACACATAATTAAGTTGGCAAAAAAAACCCCAAAAAACCTCAATTCCTTTTATATTAAAAATGATGAAACCAAGGCCTCCCTGGTGGCGTAAGGGGTTAAGTCTCAGCACTATGAAGCGATCCACTGAAGCAAGCCACTGAAGCACAAGTTCAATCCCCAGCCAGGGAACTAACCCACATGGTGTAGCAGACCTC